GCTCACAGCAACCTCCAACTCCTGGGCTCAAGCAAGTCTCCTGCCTCAGCCTCCCAAGTAGCTGGGACCACAGGCACCTGCCACAACACCCGGCTATTTTTGGGTTGTAGCTGTCATTGTTGTTTTGGCGGGCCCAGGCTGGATTCGAAACCCGCCACCTCAGGTGTATGTGGCTGGCGCCTTAGCCACTTGAGCCACAGGCGCCAAACCTGGCTTTTATTTCTGAACTAGGATTTTGGGGATGGGGGAGAATGTGACCTATAAGGGCATCTGCACAGCAAGAGTAGAGAGTGTTGGCAAGTTTGTGCACAGCACTTCTCAGAATGGCTGCCTAGACCCTGTGATTGCCCAGCATCAGGATGCTGCCCAGGATGGCCATCCACAGCACCAGGTGCCAGTGCTGAAAGTCCCCTCCATCTGCTTGTGGGTCTCCTCCAGGTCTGGGCAAGGGAGAGGGACAAGGATTATGTATGTTATGTTTTAAAAGTTTTTAAAATTCTGATGACACAAAATATCACAGAATAACCAACAAAAATAGGTTGAGACCTAAAGGAAGAAACTTATGTGCATAATTTCACTCAGAGAAAAGAAAACTGATACAAACATAAAGGGATACTATGTAACAAGGGGAGGACTAATGCTGTCAATCTTCCTAAAGACTTTGCCTCTAGCCTTTTGGCTAAAGATACCATCTTCCAGTAACTCACCAAAATAACAAACACAAAGGGAAAAAGGAGAGGTACCCAATACAAGTTCTCTAGGCCTTTTAGAAAACATGGATTTGTTCCTTTGACCACATATATGCGAATCTACAAGAAAGGTGATATTGTAGACATCAAGGGAATGGGTACTGTTCAAAAAGGCATGCCACACAAATGTTACCACGGCAAAACTGGAAGAGTCTACAATGTTACCCAGCATGCTGTTGGCGTTGTTATAAACAAACAAGGGCAAGATTCTTGCCAAGAGGATTAATGTTCCTATTGAGCATATTAAGCCCTCTAAGAGCCGAGATAGCTTCCTGAAACGTGTGAAGGAAAATGATCAGAAAAAGAAGGAAGCCAAAGAGAAAGGTACCTGGGTTCAACTGAAGCGCCAGCCTGCTCCACCCAGAGAAGCCCACTTTGTGAGAACCAACGGAAAAGAGCCTGAGCTCCTGGAACCCATTCCCTATGAATTCATGGCATAAAGCATATAACATAGCACACAGGAGTACCAGTGGACCCATGTTTTTAGGTGCAAGAACCTATTTATTCCCCATGGGCTCATGGCATAACAGGTGTACAGCATAGCACACAGGATAACCAATAGACCCCATGTAACAGTGATACAGGGTGCTGGAACCAATTTCCCATGAATTCAAAAGTCAATCAACACTTTGTCACATTCAATGGCAAGGTGCCTCCCAGAGCTACTGGAACCTCTTCCCTAAGAATTCATGGCATGATAGTTAAAAATAATAGCCTACTGCTACTGTTTAAAAAAAAAAAAGACTGCCTCTGTCTCTGTGAAGATATACATACAAGTTCATACACAAACATAAAAATGATCATATAAGGTAAACCACAGAGCTCTGGGAATTGAAACTCACCTAAGGGAAAGATGTGGGCCATACATGTAGCCACCAGATAGAGTGGGAGCAGCCACCACAGAAGGCTGCAGTCCCTAGGGTGTGGTCAGCTCATGCAGAAATGCTCCAACTAAAAGGTCAGTTATGAGGTAACATATAAAATAGGCACATTCCTATTTTTTTTTTCTTTTGCTGAGACAGAGTCTCACCATGTTGCCCTTGGTAGAGTATCGTGGCATCACAGCTCATGGTAACCTCAAACTCTTAGGCTTAAGCAATTCTCTTGCCTCAGTCTCCCAAGCAGCTGGGTACACTGGCTCCCACCACAATGCCTGGCTATTTTTTGTTGCAGTTGTCATTGTTATTTTTAGCTGTCCTGGGAGGAGTTCGAACCCAACATCCTCAGTCTATGTGGCTGGCACCATAACCACTGTGGTATGGGCATGGAGGCCACACTCTTATCTTTTGATAAATATATGTAAATTGAAAAAAAGCCTAGAAGGGGAATACCAAAACATTGACCACTAGCTAATATGATTAAAGGACTTTCTTTTTCTTTTTTTTTTGAGACGGGGTCTTACTTTGTTGGCCCTGGTTGAGTGCTGTGGAGTCAGCTCATAGAAACCTCCAACTCTTAGACTCAAGTGATCCTCTTGCCTCAGCCTCCCAAGTAGATGGGACTAAAGGCTTCTGCCACAACGCCCAGCTACTGTTTTATTTTTTACTTTTTTTAGAGACAGGGTCTTTCTTGCGCTTGCTCAGGCTAGTCTTGAACTCCGAAGCTCAAGCAATCCACCCACCTCAGCCTCCTAGAGTGTAAGGATTACAGGCGTGAGCCATCGCGCCAGGCTATAGGACTTTCTATTTTATTTAAATACTTCTCTTTTGGAGACAGAGTCTCACTCTGTCGCCCAGGCTGGAATGCAGTGATGTTATCACAGTTCACTGCAGCCCTGAACTCCTGGGCTCTAGTGATCCCCTCATCTGCAAAATGCTAGGATCATAGGCAGGAGGCACTGAGCCTGGCCCTTAAAATGATTTTCTATCATGAACATGTTAATTTCTTGACAAAGTGCTACCCTTGCAGCTTTGTATGTTTAGAGGCATAGTGTGTAGAGTTCCCACCCTGCAGCAAGAGCTCCCCACTGCCCCTGGGCATCCCACTTTTCTCAAACTCTCACTCATCCACACTATTGCCCACACAGCCTGTACCCCCAGATACCCTGTAAACAGGACCCAGTGCCAGGCACTTCCATGCAGGTGTGGGGATCATTGGCTCACACCTCTGTTCTGCTCAACTGTCACCTACTAATGTTTGGAGTATTGCTTGTTTTTGGAAAATGAAGCCATTATGAACACTTCAGTATCAAAGGTGTGGACACATGCCTCCATCCCTCTCGGTAAAACACTTAGGAATGCGATAAGATAGCTGGGCCCCTAGCCAAGGTGCATGTCTAACTTTTTATTTAATCAAAAGGTAAACAACAAACTAAAAAAGTATTTGGAAAAAAATATAATAAAGGGTTAAGTTGCATAAAATGGTTCAGTGAGCCCCAGCTGAAGAGTAACAATGGACAATGGACACACCAGCTCACAGAATGCAATACAACAAAACAAGGAAGGGTCAAACGGCCAGCAGATACACACTGACCCCCTCAGTTGAGGCCTGGAAGCAAGTCCTGCCATCCCCAAAAGGTCTCTTTCCAAGGATGCCTACCTATGTATTCATAAGACAAAAAAATGTGGAAACAATGCAATGTAAAACAATGGAAAGGGCCAATTCTGGAAATTGATCAACAATGTGTTGCTTTTATAACCAGGAAATTAATTTCTTCTTTTGGAAAATGATTCTAAGTTTCAAAATCACAAACTTAAGATATGTTCAAACAGTAAACTACTGAAACATGTTTATATTCATGACAACAAATTATTAAGACAGTACATGATGCATAATCTCAGTAATACTCAAAACAAAGCTGACAGACAGAATCATGTAGCAGGATGGTATAGCCTGACCTGAATTTCTGCAGACACTATCACATGTACAGGGATGTCCTTGGGGGTGGGGGGCGTGGGATACAGGAAAGGCCAGGCATGTCTGGAGTTTAATTAGGAAACAAAACAGTCGTAAAGTCTTGCTGATAACTGGTAGGTAGGGGTGCTTCTCATATTCTACACTATTGCCAATGTATGGATACACAGGCATATGCACCACGTTATACATATACCACTATGCCATACATATCCTGTGTTATGTATATTTACTTGTTTATTTATCTTTTAGAGATGGGGTTTTGCTCTGTCGCCCAGGCTGAACACAGTGATGTGATCAGAGCTAATGGTAGTCTCTAACTCCTGGGGCTCAAGCAATCCTCCCACCTCAAGTCTCCTGAGTAGCTGGGACTACAGGTATATGCCACTATGCCTGGTTACATTTATATTATACTCTCATTTGATTGTAATATTTCATAATAAAAAGAAATAAAAACTTAAAAAAAAAAAAAACTGTAAGTTGGGCTTGAACCGGTTGGACCCTTCCAGCCACAGACTTGGCTTCCCACGGGCAGATTTGGTCTATAAAGAGCCTGCACTCAGAAGCTTCCCTAGTCCTTGCTGTGCTGGGGACACAGTAGGGACAAGATGGCTGAGGTGACACTCTGTTTTAGTAGTCTGTCCTGCAAAAAGTCCTGCCTGCCCTCACCGGATGATGTCTGTGTACTCCCGGTCCTTCCCTTTGCTCTCTTTCCACTTCCTGTACATCACCGAGGCATCCACGTTGGCTGGCGAGAAGGTGTTGGGCTCATTGAGGAGAGAGATCACGCTCAGGAGGATGGTCCTAGAGAGAGACTGAGTCAGGCATGGAAGATCCTACATGGGCTCTGCTCTGGCTGTACCACCCAGCTCGAATCCAAGGTTGCAAACAGGAGCCAGGAGGCTGAGCATACCTAGGGAACCCAAGTCTCTTGCTTCTCTCAGACTCTGAGAAGGCACTGTGGACTTGTAGGTGTGGCCAGGGGCACTGGTGCCCCTGCCATCTCCAGATGACATCTGGCTGGCCTTCTCACAGAGTCTGGCTGTGTTCCAGGTCCCCAAGACAGCAAGAGTTGGAGCAGAGAGGGGCTGAGCTCTAGCTGGACCTGCACTGGTCTTCCTCCCATCCACCATTGGCTTCCATGCCATGATCAGTGGGGTAACAAGCCTGGACTACCTCCTTCAGACCCTGGGAGATGCCCTCGCCCCCTGCATGTACTGTCTGGGTTGGACTTGAGGCTAGGCAGGTAACAGTGTAAGGTGACAGTACCTAGGGACCTAGTCATGGGTGGTATATACAGTGAAAGGAGCCCACCCATGGAGAAAGGGCCAGGAAGAGGTGGGTGGGATATCTCCATGTTGTTCCAGATGGTGAGGCCAGCCCCAGATGTCCTGGGCACCCTCCTGGAGGTAGGCTGGTGGGTAAATACCACAGTGCAGCAGGCTTCCCCCTAGGCAGGGAGCTCAGCCTACCTGACATTCTGGGTGGGATTCCACCGTTCGGAGGGTAGTTCCCCACTCTGGGGATCGTCGACTGGGGGGTGGAGAATGGAGATGCACACGTCCCCTGTCTGTGAGAGGAGGAGGGACAGGTCAGAACTGGCCTCTGGGTGCCTGTCACTGCCCCTCCCCCAGCTCCCACTCGCCCACACCTGCAAAGACCCCATACCATGAAGGGAGGCCGGCTCACCTCATAGATGTTAGGGTGCCACATCTTGGTCAGGAACCGAAAGGCCGGTGGGGAGTAAGGATAGTCAATGGGGAACTTGAGGCGTGCCTGCAGGGGTTGGGCAGAAAGCAGGGCCTCAGCTGGAGCCTGTCCCCTCCCCGGCCAGGGCCATTTCACAGGATGACCTGGGCTGGTCATTCTTGAGTGCTAGTATGTGAGAGAGATGCACCATCTTGGCCATAAGAGGGATGGGGCTGGGGTCAGGTCTACAATAGGCCACTTCAGCCCTTGACTGAGTCACCTGAGCTGATTCCAGACCCTAGTAGTACAGATGGCTAGGGACTGGGCTAGCACAGCTGCTGGGGAGCATGAGGACTGCTGTCGAAGCAGCTCTGAGCCCCTGGCAGGCCAGGCCAGGAGTGTGAGATCCAGGCAGCAGGCACTCCCTAGCAGTCTGGTGAACACACTGGTAAAGGACAGAGGCCCAGCCTCACCCTCAAGCTGGAGGCCTAAGCCCAGCACTGTACCTCTGGGGCTGTGGCAGCCAGGTTGTGGGAGGGTTAGAAGAAATAGTGTTCACTCAGCAAACACTTTGAACACCTGCCCTGGGTCAGGCTCTGGGAGATGAGTCAGCAAGGGCCATCTGCCCTTAGGTGTCTGTTCTTTGGGGGGTGGAGGGTCAGGCAGGAAGAACTACAGGTCAGAGAAGCATTTCCCCTAATAGCTAACCAAGCCCTGGGGGCTCAGGGCTTCAGGCCAAGGGTAGCCACAAAAGGTGGAATCTGAGTCACTTGTCCAGATGACAAAGCTGCTGGCCTGTGATCTAAGTTATGATACCTGCCCATTGCTCTCCTGGGGTGTCAGCAGGTAAACAAGGAAGACTTGTTGGATCCCAGTATCAGAAACCAGGGGTCCAGGCCACAAGTCCAGGTGGTGCTTCAACCTTCAAGTGGCTGAGGCTGGGGCCAGCTTTGCTGCAGCCTCCTAAAATCTGATCTTTGGAGAAGCCCCTCCTAGCTAGACAGGGGACACAAGGGGCATTCTTCCCTTGGAAGGCAAACATGCTGAGGCCTCAGGAGGCAAGTTACTTGCCTATAGCCAGAAAGCAAGCCTTGAACTTGGGCCTCAGAACCTGCCTCGAAGTTTCCAAAGACTCCAGGTACCCCAAGCCAAGGCCTTACAGCAGAGCAGGGAGAACCTTGACTCTTGTTTTAAGCACTCCTAGAGACGCCTTTTACTGCTAAGTGCATTGCTACTCAGAGAAGGACAGCATGGCATCTTGCTCAAGAGCATAGAGCAAGGGTGGCGCCTGTGGCTCAAAAAGGTAGGGCACCAGCTCCATATGCTGGAGGTGGTGGGTTCAAATCCAGCTTCAGCCAAAAAAAAAAAAAAAAAAAGCATAGAACAAGCAAGCTGTGGAGAGGGTCTCTGCCCCACCCCGTTCAGCTCACAGCACTGCTCGAGAGCTCACTATGGCTCACAAAAGAGAAATAGGCAAGACCTGGCTGCCAGAGCAAGACACTTCGGGAAGCCGCAAGGAGGCAGCAATGGTCCCAGGCACGTCACAAATTCTGTTTCTACAACCCTCTCCCCACCCAAGCACACGTGGCACAGGAAGGTCCTGGTTGGGGGGTGGCAGAGCCACCCCAGTTACCAATCCTAGCTACAGAGAAGGCAGATCCTGTGGCAAAAATGATTGAGGTCTGACAGGTTCCCCACATTGTTGTTCTCCAGGAAGACGCAATAATCCACCTAATGCCAGCCCAGAAAGCTCTGGCCTCATCCCTTGTGATGAGCCAGAAACCTGTGCTTTTTCCTTCCAGAGCAGCTGCCTCTTTTCAGGCCTCACGGTGGGGTTCAGTTACCCCTGTTCTAAGCAGAACCCAATCCTGACAGCTATTCCCTCAAGCAGATAAAAGGGACTGGTGAGGGGCTGCTTAAACCACCTGGTGACCTGGGAGGCCTCTCGGCCTAAACCCCACTCCCTGTCTGGGGAGGCAGGGTCCCAGATGTGGGACCCAAGGCTGTTCCTACTCATCCCCTCTCAATCCAGGCTGTAATCCAGAACCAATTCAGGCATCAGGCCCCTCACCCTACCCCCACCAGGCTGCTGACCTCACAAGTCACTGAGCAAGCGCAGTTCAAACATTAGCCCAGAATGCAAAGAGACATCTGTCCAGGCAGCATCACCCCTTTGGCCCCACCCCCGCAGCCTGCCTGTGCTGTGGTTTCTGCTGCCACCTGGCCTTCTAGCCAAGGCAGAAGCAGGCCATGCTCTTGGCAGGTAGTGACAGCAGCATATTCCTGTATAGGGGGGCTCATTCCCTATCTCCCATGCAAGGAGACCCCAATAAGATGGTCCCGGTGTTCTGAGAGAAGGCCACTATGGCTGGGTTCAGACTGTGAGATCAAGAAAACTGCCCTAGTTTTGGCCTAAGTACTTTCTACGCCAGACAGAAACACAGCCTCCATGCCCCCAAAACAACGAAAACAAGGCACTGCTTGGAATGAAGTCACCAGAGAGTGGAAATAATGGTCCAGAACTAGAGATCTGGGTCCTAAGAAGCCACCTGCTTAGGGGAATCTGAGAAAAGCCAGCTAGGGTCAAAGAGGAGCCCTGAGCTTTGGTGGTCCGGGTCCACGACGCTGGCAGGAGCCAAGGGCCTGGGGATGGCTCCAAGAAGCAGGGTGAAGGAATGGCTCGTACCTTACCCTTCCCTAGAGAACAGGTTACATAAAGCTGGGGATGAAGCCCGGAGTGCCTGGCCAGCTACTACCGGCATGGGTGGCCGTTTTCCAAGCAGGTCTCAGCTGCCAAGGCCTCATCCGGGCCTTTGTTGGAACCTGAGCAAGGAACCCCTGGCTGGCCTCCCACCCTTTCCCATCGGCTCTGAGTTCCCCAACAATAGCAGCTCGTTGGTTCTGGGAGGCCTCTTTGTGTCCTCTGGGGAGAGGGCGGGGAAGGCAGCTGAAAGGCTGGGGGTCTGCCTGGGCTTTCCCTTTACCTCCTCTGCAGGGCTGGGCCGAGGGAGGGGCAGCGAGCCGGAGCCCTCCCGGGGACGAGGTAAATAAGAGCTCCCCCTCCAAACAAAAAAGGAAGAGTTTCGGGCCTCCTGGAGGTAAAGGAGCTAGGAGATTAGCTGGAAGACAGCTAGGCCTTTGGTGCCTCAAGAGAACTGAGAGTTCTCTGGGACTCCAGGGCCAGACTGCAGGAGCGACCGAAGGGCCTCCTAGCTTGACCGACGAGGGTGCGGGCGGGGACAGGATCACGACAGGGAAATTGAGTGGCAAGCCAGAAGACTGTGGGCCCCGCCCGGGACAGGGGCCCAGGGGATGGAGGGAGCAGAGCTGCGGCCCCCGACGCCTGAACTCGCCTGGGGTTCCTGGATCCGAGCGCGGGGGCCGAGCAGGGCTCGGCGGGCTCACCTTGAAGTATCCACCCTCGTAGTAGGTATTGGGGGGCCCGAAGATGGCCACCTCCCAGTTGTATAGGTCGCCTTCGTCCACCAATGTCACCCGGAAGCCCTCGACAGGCTCCTCCTGTAGCCCCTTAAGCTCGAGCAGCAGCGCCTTCTGCGAGCTGGGCACCAGCGGCCTGGCCATGGCGGCGGCGGCGGCGG